CAGTACCTGAGAGGGCAGACTCACCAGCACCTGAGAGCACAGACGCACTGGCACCTAGAGCAGCAGCCTCACTAGTACCTGACGCGGCAGTACCAATGCCCGGGTCGGGCGGGAAACACCGGTAACAGTCATCCTCATCACTACCAGTCACAGCATACATAGCAGAGAGAATAGCATCAAAATCAAGATCATAAATAGCTACACCAGCCCTAGACAGCTCTCCCCAGCGGGGGATCTCAGCGGCCTCCGGAAACTGCTGACGCCAGGCGTCGGTCAGGCGGCCAAAGCAGCGGCGGGCTGTGTGGGCGCCTCCACACCTCTCCCCTGCACGGTCACCGGTGCGAAGAACGTAGGGGCAGGGACCAAGCGCACTACCACGCTGACGCTGCAAGTACCACTCACGGAGCTGCTGAGGGGCGAGGACGGTGCGAGAGCGCTGCTGCTGCTGTGGCTGCTGCTGCGGCTGCTGCTGCTGCTGCTGCTGGCGCTGACCACCCCCAGAGCTGCTCCGCTGGGACGAGCCACTCCGACCCCCGCCTCCACCGCCACCCCCGCCTCCACCGCCACCCCCGTCTCCACCGCCACCTCCCCCACTAGGACCGTCGCTCCCACCGCTCCCACCGCCTCCTCCGCTACCACCTCCGCCGCCACCTCCGCCTCCACCGCCGCCACCAGTACCTCCACTCCCGCCACCACCCCCACCGCCACCCCCACTCCCCCCGCCACCCCCACCGCCTCCTCCACCGCCCCCTCTAGCTCCACCCGCTCCCTTGCCCCCCTTGCACTTGCCAGAGCGGCGTCTGCCGCTGGGGGCAGACGCCGCGCCGACCGACTCAAAACCAGCGAGGTCGGCCGCAGCGGCAGAGGCGACAGAGGGCAGCAGGGGGGAAGGACCACACCCCTCAAAGATGGGGGTGCGAGGGTCACCCCGAGAGGCCCCTACAGCGACAATACTCTTCTCAGCCGCTAGCAGGGACTCCTCAAGGAGGTCGACAGTGAGAGTGGTGGGACAGACAGAGAGAAACTGGTCCCTAACGACACGAAGGGACTCAGGGAGACGGGTGACGAGAAAGTAGAGGGTGATGTACATGGGAGGAGGGTTCGCAGCGCGGAACTCAGCAGGAAGGGCAGCGCGGTAGCGGGTGTCACTAGCACGGAGGTGGGTAACGAGGTCAGCGACAGTGGGAAAGGAAGCGAGGTCAGGGAAGAGAAACGGTAGCATGAGGCGGCTAAGGGTAGCGGAGGAAGGGGAGGAGTAGCGTGCAACTACAGCGTCGTACAAGGCCTGAGCGGTCTTGCACTGACTAAAGTGGGCACGCTCAGAGGAAGGGAGGTGGCGACGCACAGCAAGACGTGCAGCAGCATCGCGGGTCGCCCACTTGGAGCGAACGGCAGAGTCAGCATCAGCAGGAGGGGCAGGGACAGCGCCAGAGACAAAGTCAAAGAGAGAGACCTCATCTATCGCATCACACAGTAAGTACAGCTGCAGGTCTTCAATCCAGACGGCAAAGTCAATGGCCCTCCCCTCAGCGTCAAAAGTAAGAACATTGGGGGTGGCCATGGCAGCAGCTGAAAGTCTCACCGGGCTGGGAGAGTCGGGTAGGTCAGCAGCAGAGGAACACAGCTCAGGAACAGCAGCACGGCTCCTCAGGCGGCTCGGGCGGCACGGGCGGCTCGGGCGGCTCGGGCGGCTCGGGCGGCTCGGGCGGCTCGGGCGGCTCGGGCGGCTCGGGCGGCTCGGGCGGCTCGGGCTGCTCGGGCGGCGGCTCGGCTGCAGCTCAGCGGCAGCTCGGCGGCGGCTCGGGCGGCGACTCAGGTGGCCCGGGCGGCGGCTCAGGCGGCGGCGGCTCGGCGGCGGCTCGGCTGCTGCTGGGCGGCTCGGCGGATGCTGGGCGGCTCGGCGGGGCCGCGTAGCAGAGGGCGGCAGGGCCGCGATCGAAGGGCGGCGGGGCCGCGACCGAAGAGGGCGGCGGGGCCGCGTAGCAGAGGGCGGCGGGGCCGCGTAGCAGAGGGCGGCGGGGCCGCGTAGCAGAGGGCGGCGGGGCCGCGTAGCAGAGGGCGGCGGGGCCGCGATCGAAGGGCGGCGGGGCCGCGTAGCAGAGGGCGGCGGGGCCGCGTAGCAGAGGGCGGCGGGGCCGCGTAGCAGAGGGCGGCGGGGCCGCGTAGCAGAGGGCGGCGGGGCCGCAATCGAAGGGCGGCGGGGCCGCGTATCAGAGAGCGGCGGGGCCGCGTGGCAGAGGGCGGCGGGGCCGCGTAGCAGAGGGCGGCGGGGCCGCGATCGAATAGGGGCGGCGGGGCCGCGTAGCAGAGGGCGGCGGGGCCGCGATCGAAGGGCGGCGGGGCCGCTAGGGAAGGGCGGCGGAGCCGCTAGGGGAAGGGCGGCGCAACAGGCCGCTAGGGGCGACACGACGGGTCGCTAAAAAAAAACGCGCCTCGGGGCGCGGTTCGTTGGGCCCTAGAAGCAGTCCCTAGGAGGGAACCTGCTCTGATTCCATGTGAAATCAAAGAACGAGAATGAATGACTATGAAGTGAAGTGAATACAAATAGGAAACCCTAATTGTGTTGTACCCCCTATGGGATACCCCACTATAGCCTACAGAAACAAGTAAGCTATATGTTCTGACAGCCACGTGATCGGATGCGATCAATGTCGACGGCAACTATGTCGCATGTCGGCGATCGACTCGCTTCGCTGGCTCCAGTAGTCACTCTTTGCAAAGCTCTTGGAAAGAAATATACAATCTCGCTTCTAGCAATCTTCGATTTTTTTTTTTTTTTTTTTTTTTTGGTAGGTGAAATAGCATTATACAACGTACAACGCAAAACACCGTCGGCCGTAACCGGAGCTAGAGGGCATAGGTAGCGTTAGTGTCTACCGTACCCTCCCAGATTCCTTTGGAGTCTTAAAAGTCAAATGCCTAAAAACTTTGTCTTGCCCGTTTGGGGCTTTCTTTGCAGAGTTGCCACATTTCAGATCTGGTAACCTGTGGACACTTCTTTGCCGCGTGGTTTTCTTCAGCCTTGATTGAGTCGCCACCACTGAGTGGTTGAGTGAGGTGGTTTCAGCAACCCGTGTTTTGACGTTGAAGCGGTAGAAAGTGGTAACAATAGCAGGTCTTTCCCGGCGAGCTTGCCACAAGAGAATTGCACGAAATTTTCTGGGCGTTTTCCGACGCCTATGAGGACCAGCTTCTACTGTCCTGGCTCTAGAGAGCACAGCAACTTCAGGAAAATCTTGCATCAATCCATGTCGTCCAGCAGTAATAAAACTCCCGTCAGCATTATCCACCAGTTGCAGATGCACTTCCTGTAACTTCCAGCCTTTCTCATGTCGAAATTTATATGTCGTTTCGTCGTCCACAGCCTTAGAAAATAAGTACTCGTCGTTGAACAGGTGAGCCAAGGAAAAATCTTCCAGGTTGAACATTTCCAGCGGAAAAACCTCTTCGCCTCAAAACACTTCAGCAGTCGTTAACGTAGTTATTTCGGACGCTTTGAGAGTCGAACGTCATTGCTCTGGTTCCTTGAAGAAATACTTCTCACATTCTCCAGAGCATGAAACTTCTTCTCCATGCCATCCTGGGTGATGACTTGAAATAGTAGATCCAGCCATGCCTTTAGGTAGTGAAACCACGTGATTAATGTCTGGCGCTTTATTCCGACTTTTCTTCCTCTTCACTGGTTGTTGATATATGGCAGCAAAAACTGATAATCTGAAAATATTACGTGGTCCACCTTCCTTGTACTTGCAGATTTTTACTTCTGGTGAAAATGCCTTGATTCTCAGGTCCCATTTTAGGTGACGATTTGAAATGAACTCGACCATTGAAGCTTCGTTGGAGTAACTCAATGTCTTGAGCTTAAGATCAGCTTTATAACCTGAAAGTACAGATCTTCTTAAGCGACGTTAAGACTAACCGATGTTCACTGTTTGAACACAATGTTGGTGTCATTAACAAGCCCTTGAAGAGTAGATCCAGAAAATAGATTCAGATTGCTGAACTGGTTGAGGTAAGCTGGACATTTGCTGAATCAAAGTTCTCCTAAGGAGCCATGGCGGAGAGCTATTATTGCCTGAATGGAGGAGTTACATAGCAATCTTCGAATGATCTTGCGATTGCATAGGAAGCGCAATAACGAGGATGCGGCCACCCTAAATTTCAACCGCTCTCGATCCTTCTCCACTCTGGTCGACAACAAACCACAAGCTCAGCAACAGCAATTTTGCCCATAGCCCATGATGATGATTTCGAGGTCATATTTTATATTCAACTTACCTGACAGCGACAGGCGGGAAAGCTGCCTGTCATTCAGCTTGGAAGGCCTTTTGTTCGGAGACGCTAACACGCATGAGCGACGAGCGACACCTTGATTATCCCGAACAGACTTCGTCCGTCAAAAAACTGGATTCGACAGGTTGTCGGCCAGCGACGTGAGCTTGTTCGCAAGTTGCTCACCCTGGCGACAAGCTCGATGTTCGTACGGCTTGTCCGAGGCTCACCTGCTCGGCTGTGTCGCATTCAGGGGGTTTGAGAAGTAAATCACGCTGTGACGTTCCAGGATGTGACGTAAGCCACCGCACTGTACCGCTTCCGAACGGCCCGGGACGTCGCGGCGTAGTTACCATCATGCATATCTTGATGCCGACACTGACGTACACTATGGAACCCGTCTCCATTCTTCGTGCGACTGCACGCATGAATCACGCGCCGCCTTTTGAACCGGATCGCTTGTCAGCGTCACAAAACGCGCAAATGGCTCGTCTTCTCTTAGGTTTCCAGCTGCAGCTGGACGACTGCAATCCTTTTCAAGCCCGGTGTTCTGCTGCTATTAGCTCGATTCAATTCAAGCTTTCCGAAGGAGAAAGTAACTTGCCTTATTGCCAGACGCACCCAGAAAGAATCAGGGTCCGGATCAGGCATCTCAACAGATCCACTTTGCAGATACAGAGTGCTCTGGCGAGTCTTTCCGAAAGACCATCGCCTCGTGTGAAGTCGACATGCCTCTCCTTTGGCAGCTCGTCCTGGCAGGCTTCATACTCGCTTTAGCGTATCTCACATGGCGGTATAAATACTTCCTGAGAGGCAACAGCAAGTTCGGACCTCCTCACTGGCCTGTGCTTGGGGCGATCCCAGCTCTCTTCTCCAACTTCCCTTATCTCCTGGATTGGTCCACGTCACTGCTCGAGGTATGCAACTTCTAGTAGCTTAAAGAACGCCTTGAACAAAGGTAAAGGTTCCAGCTCATGCTTCTGCTGGCTTTATACCTTCTTGCAATCACTATCTTCCCATTGCATTCTCATGGTCACGACTGCGTTGGAGTCTGATATTGTGAAACTGCTGAATCATGTCTTGGCGTCATGTGTCATGTCCTCCTCCCTCCCCGGTGCAGGAATGTCCGTCCATGACATACGTGTCTCTGGGTCCCGGCATGAACGAGGTGATCACAGCGAATCCCGAGGTGCTGGAGCACATCCTCAAGAACAAGTTCAGCAACTACCCCAAGGGACCCGACTTCCAGGTCAGTGCCACGTGGCAGTTGGAGCTACCTAGCATGTTCTCTTAAATCTGGGGACTGATTAGATCAAAACAAATTAGCGAATCCCGAGGTCTCAAGAACAAGTTCAACTAGTACCTCACATTCGACAGCGACGGAGAGGCAGAGGAAGCCGGCCAGTCTTTAGTTCCAAATCCCTCTCACAAACACTATCTCATCTCCCCTCTCTCTCCCTCACTATTACAGTCTTCGTTCGGTGACCTGCTGGGCCACGGCATATTCAACAGCGATGGCGAGGCGTGGAAGCAGCAGCGGAAGACAGCTAGCCTTGAGTTCTCCGCGCGATCCCTTCGCGACCTCATGATGGTCTCCATTCAAGACGAGGTGCAGCTGCGCCTGCTGCCCACCTTGCAGACGGTGAGTTGAAAGGATATTGTTGTGTGTGCATCTCATCTGTCTATCCTTCGTGACCTCATGATGGCCTCCATTCAAGACGAGGTCCAGCTGCGCCTGCTGCCCACCCTGCAGACGGTGAGTCTTGACTTGAACAGGGTAGGTCACAGTGCTGCTCACCAGTGGTGTTTGTGTGGGTCTCAATCTCATCCGTCTATTCCTCCGTGACCTCATGATGGTCTCCATTCAAATCGAGGTGCAGCTGCGCCTGCTGCCCACCCTGAAAATCGTGAGCCTACACTGTCGGGTCTGGTAGCGCTGCTCATCTCCCCCTTTCTCCCCATCCTCTCCCGTCTCCTACCATCAGGCCTTTGATTCAGGCTCATCAATCAACATTCAGGACATTCTGCTGCGCTTCACATTTGACAACCACTTCTTCTTCGCCCCTCCCCTCCTCCCCCACTCCCTCCACACCAGGCCTTGGAGTCAGCCGCATCTATTGATATTCAGGACATTCTCCTGCGATACACATTTGACAACATCTGTCGCATCGGCTTTGGGGTGGACCCTGGCTGCCTCGCAGCTGGCCTCCCTGACATCCCCTTTGCCCGGGCCTTTGACGATGCCACCAAGGTGTGTGCGTCCATTTCACCTCTCAAAATCATGTTTAAAAAATTCCTGGCAGCAGGCCTCCCCGATATCTCCTTCACCCGGGCCTTTGACGACGCCACCAAGGTGCGTCTGCGGTTTCCAATGTTTTTTTTTTTTAAGTGTTCCGTTTCACCCTGCAAAATTCTAAAACCATTCAGTGACATCCCACGAGTTACATCCCAACCAAATGTTTTTCTCCTGATGTAAGCAGCATTTGTTTCACGTTGGTAGTTCTCGTGCACTTCCGGTCACCAGTTAGGTTTTCATACTCTGCCGCAGGCTGTCACCTGTCTCCTGAAATTTTCCTGGCTGTGCTGCTCTCTTGCTGCTTTCCCCGCATCACAGGCCACGCAGATCCGCAACATTCTCCCAGACTCCATTCGCAGCCTCTTCATGTCATGGGGCATCGCGCATGAGAAGATCCTCAAAGCATCCGTGCAGGTGAGTGCTCACGAGCGCAAGACGTGAGACATGAGACGTGCAGAGCTGAGTTAGGAGACATCTCGAAACGTCATGTCATGGGGCTCGTGCACGAGAAGATCCTCAAAGCGTCCGTGCAGGTACAGGGCCGCTCCGATACGATAACATCATGCATACATGTGTTGTGGTTCTCCCAGCAGGGAGAAGGACCCGATCCGGTTCTCCCAGTTCTGGTTTCCTTAGGCCCCGGAAGAAGGAACCAGCAGCTGTCCATCACCCCTTTCCCCTTGATCTCATTTCTCTATACCTCCACCCAAAGCTACTCTTTCTCTCTCCTACCCCACCTCTCACCTTCTCCGCCAAACACCCCCTTGTCGTCGTCCATATCTGCTTCTCAGGAAATCGACGAGTTTGCCCACAGGGTGATAGAGACGCGCAAGGAGCAGCTGGACAGGCTGAGGAAGGGGGGCGCAGAGGCGGAGGCGGAGGGCAGGGATGATGTCTCCCTGGGGCACTCCGACATCCTCTCCAGGTTTGTTCTGATTCAACGGTGACTCGGATGGCGTGTTTTGAGTCAGACTTGAAATATACTTCAAGAGGCTGAGGAAGAGCAGTGCAGAGGCGGAGGAGGAGGGTAGGGTTGATGTCACCCTGGGGCACTCCGATATCCTCTCCAGGTAAATTATTGTTTTCAGAGGTGACTCGCAACGTATGGTTTGGGCCTCACACGAAATACACCTAGAGGTTGACGAAGGGGGGAGCAGAGGCGGAGGAGGAGGGCAGGGATGATTTGTCCCTGGGCCACTCCGACATTCTCTCCAGGTCCCCTGCATTGCATCACTCACTAATTCACTCAATCACTCCCTTTCTTTATCGTTCTCACCTCCCTCCCTCGTTCGCTCCCACCCTCCCTCACTCCCGCTTGTGCCCCCTCCCTCCCTCACACCATCCCACTTGCACATGTCTCACTTGCATCATTGCACTCTTGCAAACGCTCTCAACTTCTGAGGCGCCTCAAGAACAGACGCCCTTTCAACTTTATGCCCAGCCTACTGCTTCACCACTTGACTTCACTTGTCTTTACTGTCTGTAATCCTGATTCGTTCGTATTCACATGCCCCCACCCTCCCATCAGGATGATGATGATGCTCCAGAAGATTGACGGAGGGCAGATGTATTTTGAGCAACCTTCAAGTCTTCTCCAATCCCTCTCAATCTCCTTCCACCTCTCTCCACCCGCCCATCAGGATGATGATGCTCCAGAAGGATGACGGAGGGCAGCTGTACTCGGAGCGCTTCCTCCGCGACGCCTGCACCAACTTCATCCTAGCTGGCAGGGACACGTCATCAGTGCTGCTGACGTGGTTCTTCTGGCTGCTGAGCTGGCACCCACACGTGGAGAGCAAGATAGTGGAGGAGGCGAGGAGCATCATTGCTGGCCGTGACGCAGGTAGGGTGTGAGGCAATGAGGGGGAGTGAGAGCAGAGAGTGTGGGGAGTGATTGCTGTGTCTTCTCCACCTCACCCGCCACCTCCCTTGCATCACCTCCATTTCCTCCCACCACTTGCAAGGTTCTTATGAGAAATCTTTTGAGTCGACTCAAAAGCAGACTCTCACCCCTTGCAGGGTTTTTATCAGAATTCTCAAAAAACCCCTCCCTTCCATCACCTCCATTTCCTCACACCCCTTGTCCCATGCGCAGGCGACGAGAGGGAGACGTTCACATACGACGAGCTGCGCAGCATGACCTACACACACGCCGCTCTTAATGAGGCTCTGCGCCTCTACCCCTCCGTGCCTGCTGACACCAAGTGAGTACTCACTCACTAGCGATGTACGCAGAGTAGCAGCGAGTGCGTAGCTACATGTATGCTGCTCTCAATGAGGATCTGCGCCTCTACTCCTCCGTGCCTGCTGAAACCAAGTGAGTAATGCTGATACCAAGGGGGTGTTTATGTGTGAAGAGTAAATCAGCACGACCTGTACGCACGCTGCTCTCAATGAGGCTCTGCGCCTCTACCCCTCCGTGCCGATACCAAGTGAGTGCTTATTTGAAGAAGGGTTTACACCCAACCAGGACGCTGACTACTCGAAGCTTTGCTTACGGCTATGCTCAGAGGAAGTTTTTAAGCTGTGAGCTGCGCAGCATGACCTACATGCATGCGGCTCTCAATGAGGCTCTATGCCTCTACCCCTCTGTGCCTGCAGACATCAAGTGAGCGCTCTGTCACCAAAGAGGTAAGCTGTGCTGTGCACCACGATCCCTCTGCTCACCTGTGAAGAGCGAATCAGCATGACCTTCACGCACGCCGCCTCTGCCAAGGTTTGGACGCAAGACGCCTTGGAACTATTCGTGAGAGGGATAGTGGTGGAGCTGGTGCTCAGAGGAAGTTGTAAACTCGTGAGCTAATCAGAGTGACATCAGCATGACATCTGAATGGCCTACATGCACGCAGCACTCATCGATGCTCTGCTTCCTAGTCGTTTGCCTAATCAACCCGTCCCCCATCCTCCCCTCCTCTCTTACGCTGCAGGCATGTGATGTGAGTGAGGACGCCGTCTTGTCACATTGCACACATGCACGACAGTGAAGAAGGGTTGGAGGGTGATGTATGCGCTCTACGCCATGGGCCGCATGACATGTGTGCCTCTTCACCTCCCTCTGTCCCTTGCTCATCCGGCACGTGAGTGAAGATGACGTATTACCAGATGGAACGCCAGTGAAGAAGGGCTGGAGGGTGATGTATGCGCTCTATGCCATGGGCCGCATGACTCGCATCTGGGGCCCCGACGCCCGTGAGTACCGCCCTGAGCGCTGGATCATTTGCTTGCACTTCCTTCTCCCTCCTCCTGTCACTCCTCACCCTCCCACCTCACCAGGCACGTGAGTGAAGACGACGTATTACCAGATGGAACGCCTGTGAAGAAGGGATGGAGGGTGATGTACGCGCTCTACGCCATGGGCCGCATGACACGCATCTGGGGCCCTGATGCCCGTGAGTACCGCCCGGAGCGGTGGATTGATGCCGCGGGTCAGCTCAGAAGCGAGTCGCCCTTCAAGTTCCCTGCATTCAATGCCGGCCCAAGGCTCTGCCTCGGCAGGGACTTGGCATACCTGCAGGTCAGTGCAGCTGGAGTTGACGCGTGCTTGTCGATTCCTTCCGGGTGATGATGGTAAGGTGTTTATCTGGTGCTTTAATGGTTCCTCTGCACAGCATGAGAATGAATCTCAAGCAGGTGTGAGTCAATCCTCGCCACATTGAGCTTCCTCTGCTGCCTGGCTACTGCTGCTCTGAGTCCTCTTTGCTCCCCCCCCCTTTCACTTCTGAACGCAGATGAAATCCGTGGCAGCGAGTGTGCTAACAAAATACCGCCTGAAGCCAGTCCCAGGGCACAAGATTGAGTACAGTGTGTCTCTTACTTTGTTCATGAAGAATGGCCTGTTGATTAACGTGCAACCTAGATAGCAATTGGGGTTGGTTGGTTGAACTCCTATCCTAGCAGTATCGCCATTAGCCTTCTCCTCCAAAAGGACGTGTTTCATATTTTTTTTTTCCTGCTTGTATTTTGAATGCTTCTAGTTCCATCTGATAGTACCGATCAAGAAAGCAGGCCTCTTCTTGATGGGTGTTAGTCAATTGACTCATGGGTCAAGAAAAAATTAATGAAATATATGCATTTTTGCACGAAGCTGTCACTAGCGGGCATAGTGAAACCTGCTTGCTCGCACGTATTGTACGACTCCCACGTTGTGCACGTCTCGCACGCATTCCACGTCTAGCCCGTATCCCAGGCAGATACTGACTGCTGCTCGCCTATGCGAGTCACGCACCACTGCCGTCGAAAAAACAGCCAATTCGCTCCATTGGCCTGCGAACCTACACGCACCACAAATACATTCTATTCGCTTGCTCATCCAGAAAATATCACAACCTTCGTGTCCAATGGCAGGCTGGCACCACGCTTTGCTTACCTCCTTCCTTACGCGTTGAACATGATAGGGTCTTGACTAGACAGGCATCCAGTACGACCTTCGAGTGGTAAAACAACGTTTTAGTGGGCTGGAGTCTACTGCTAATGTGGTACAGTACGGTGGCGGATCGAAGGGGGACAATTGGATGCTCCATCCTGCTGCTCTTACAGTCGCCTTCTCAGAGCCTCTAGACACTCCTTACTTATTGCTCGGGGTGTGGCTAGCCCTGGGTGTTGGCTGTCCATTATCCAATGCACAGGAGCTTGTTTTCACCAGTTCAGTCCCTCTTTACATTAAGATCTCGACCGCAGAAGTGCGCACGCGAGAGAAGCTCTCGGAGGGGCTCTCTAAGAATAGCGGCCTTTTCGTGACGTCTGCAGCACTTGTGTAACGGACTTTCCACTTGTGGATAAGCATCAAGTCCAACGTTGATCATGACGGACGCAGCGCCAGACCTAGCAACTGCGGAGGTTATTAATATGACAGAACCCGCAGCGCAGGGTTGCTGCGTCTGGGGCCCGTGTGAGTGCGACTGGTTCGAAAGCATGGGTGCTGTGTTCGGCTGCATTATGGAGAGCATATGTAATTGATTGTGCTGTTTTGTGAATACACTTCAATACTATACTTTCCCGTCCCTTGGGTTGGTTCTCCCAAAAGCTTGATCATGGCAGCAAGCGACAGACATCAAAGAGTGGAGTTGAATGAATAGCCGAAATGGACAGAGAATTGAAGCAATTGACGGCCTTTTAACTAGCAAAGCATATTTGAAATAATATGTTGTTATTGGATCTGTATTGTAGTATATTCACATGCCATGTACAGCACGGAGGTGTACGCCATTTCATGGCAATACACATCAGCTACGTTAACATCACAGGTGACATGTTTTCATTCAAGAGCAAAGTTTTATTGCCTTCGGTACTTTGTTTCTTCCGCTCCTTGTCCTGTATTGAGGTTCTCTTGTACCGTGCTCCCAAGCCCAGGAGCCTTTCGGCCAATCGTTCAGGTTTGGTGTTCCGTCCCTCCCGAACCTCAAGAGAGCGTCCGATTTGGTTTTGTTGGTTGTCGTCATGGAACTGACAGCAAGAAGCACAGATGGTTTCGTTTTTAGCTAAAGAGCAGACTGGTGGTGGTTGTGGCAGTGATTAATTCCTTGACAAGGTTCGAGTCGCTCCGTGTGCATCTCATTTCGTGGCTAGCATCAAATTTTGTTGCATGTGGACGGGATTTTCGGCTAGATGATGGAGAGGTCATCAGCCACACGGCACCTCCACGGTACGCTGCACCACACACTCTGGGGCACCAGAATCGGTAGTTCTGATACACATACGTACAGTACCACTATGGCACGGCACGGCAATCGCACGCGGTTCATTTTCTTTAGTGTTTATTCCGGGAGGTTCATGTAGCACGCCGTATCATCCGTGATTTGTTCCTTTGTGTGGAACAGTACAGTACTTATGTTAGGCGGGAATCGCAAACATCACACGTTGGATCACCACCACTTGACGCACTGGCTTTCAAGGTTGGCGCGATTCTCAGTTCATACAGCCAACAGCTTAGCGGATCGTCTGGACGCTCTATTCTCGTCCCTCATCTTTCGCTCTTGTAGGGTTGCTTTCCGGCAGCAGTACCAATTTCCAGACCACCCAGGCTTGCCAGTAGCAAGCACCACACGCAGACGCGTGAGGGACATACACTAGCTAGCTCGCACCACGCGTGTGACGCGCTGTGCCGCATTGAACTTGCTAGCCTGGTTATCGCAATTGGGCGCTTTGTACCCGCGCGCGTACGTTCGCCACATTTTGGGATAATCTGAAGTGTTCCGGAAGTTTCGCATCACCATCATGGCGGACGCAGCAGCCCAACCAGCACCCGCGCCGCCCGCGGAGGCGGGAAAAGAGGCGGAAGAGAAGAAGCAGAAAGGATGCGGGTGTGATTTTTGGTGCTGGGTGAGAGTTCTTGGTAAGATCGTGAATGACGTAACTAAGAATATTGGTAAGTAGGGTAATTGCGTCGCTCCGTGCGTCCAATCAGTTCATTTGTCCTCACTACCCTAGGTCATGCCACATCCGCTTGTGGATGCTTATGGTTAAGTGACTTATAGAAGTTTATCGTAGCCTGATCGCTGTGAGGTTCTTTCCTTCAATACAAGGCCGGCACAGAAATAAGCACGACATGTATCACGCTGTTGGTGCACACAGGCAGTGGCTCACAACCTTGAAGTTTGCTGTTATGAGTTGTAAAAGAGAGTGCGCAGGTAAACGAATAACGAAGCTGTGACTGAATCAACTGCGAATACAATGAATGCACAGACTAATGTAGGACTACTCTAGCCAGGAGGAAACCTCGGACGAGCGAGGTTGGGTGCAGGTTTGGCGATGGGAAAGCCGAAGGCGACGTGAGTAGCCTCGGCTCGGCAGCGTTGAAATCGGCCGAACGTGCGAACTCCGAAAATCGGGTTGTACGCGAAGCAGTCAACCCCGATAAGGAATTCGGGAAAATTCCTTACACCCCCCCCCCCCCCCCTTAAGAAAGGTAGTCAATGGCCGAAACACGCCGTCGCGCTAGATAATCACCAACAAGTGTCGAGGCGTCCAGTGAAGCGGATGGCACCCACGTGTCGTCCTCACTGGTGCGGTCGGTCCAGCGAATTAAGAAATCCACGTGGCGTCCAGCGGCGTCAAGGCGGATTCGATGAGCGAGAATCTTGGAAGGGTCAAGTGTTGGCTCCGGGACGGGGCGAGCTGTCGGGGACGCTTGCTGACGTGCGATGTCGGTCGTGGTAGGCACAAACTTCCGAAGAAGGCTGATGTGGAACGCGTCATGTATGCGCCAATCGTCGGGTAGCAACAGCTTCGCGGTGACAGGTGTCACCATCTTGAGGATTTTGAACGGTCTGCAAAATCGTGGCCGAAGTTTCGCACGGCCGGGCAGGTTCAGGTTTTTTGTGTCGAGGAGGACTAGTTGCCCAGTAGTCAAGACGAGTTCCCGGCGAAGAAGGTTGGTGTATTTGCGGGAAGTAATATTCGCTTTGCGAATTGCGTCGGCGGCTTTTTCGCGGACTTCCTGGAGTTCCGTCACGAAAGTCTGGGAACGCGGGACAGGATCGTCGAGTGTAGTTGTCGTCGGAACTGCCGGGTCCATCCCATAATTCAGGAAGAATGGGGAGTGATTAGTCGTGCTGGATGGTGCGTTGTTGAAAGCGAATTCCAGCATTGCGAGCGAGTCTTCCCAGCGGGCAGGATCGGGGCAGTTTGTCCTGATTAACTGCTCCATGGTCTGGTTGGTCCGCTCTGTTTGACCGTCGGTCTGCGGGTGGTAAGCCGATGAGAACTGTAGCTTCGTGCCGTATTGCGCCCATGTCTCCTTCCAGAATTTGGATGTGAATTTTGGGTTGCGGTCGCTGATGATCGCTGAAGGGATGCCGTGCAGTCGCACGACCGTCGATATGAAAAGTCGCGCAATTTCTTCGGCTGTGATGGTCGTTCGGCATGGTGCGAAGTGCGCCATTTTCGTGAAGCGGTCGACGACGACGAGAACAGCGTCGTTGCCTGTCGGCCCAGCTGGCATCCCCGTGACAAAATCCATCGTCACTTGTTGCCACGGTCGTTCGGGTGGCTCGAGGGGTTGCAGCAATCCAGCTGGTCGCTGACGTGTCGACTTCATTGCTTGGCACACCCTGCATGAGGACACATAGCGCTGCACGTCGTTAGAGGAATCAGGCCAGTAATAGTGACGGTGTAGTAGTTTCCGTGTCTTATCGACCCCGAAATGTCCGGAGAGGTTTGAATCGTGTATCTCCTGGATGAGAAGCTCACGCAGCAGACGGTAAGCGGGAACCCAAATCCGGTCGGTTCCGGCTTTTAGGTAATAGTCCCCTTTCTGCGTCGTAGTCTGCTGATGGTTTCCCGTTGTGAAGAAGGGGTCTGTCGTGTAGCCGTGGGTGAATAGTCCGGTAAGTAGCGGGTTCGAGTGGGTGATGAGTACTGCAGCGGATTGTACTGTCGGTCGGGTCAGGGCGTCGGCGATGTTATTAGCCTCTTTTTTGTACGTGATGCCGTAGGTGAAATGGCTCTCCATGTAGTCGAGCCATAAAATCTGTCGTGGGTTGAGGTTGGGTTGGGCTCGCAAGTACTGTAGGGATTTGTGGTCCGTGCGAACAGTGACGTCGGCGCCCACCATGTAGCATCGCCATAGTTTAAATGCGTGTATAATGGCGAGCATCTCCTTGTCGTGGATCGGATAGTTGCGTTCGGCTGCCTGTAGCTTGCGTGATTCGTAGGCTATCGGCTGCAGCCCGTTCCCGAAATCTTGGAGGAGCACAGCTCCGATGGCGAAATCTGAGGCGTCGGTTACAACTTCGGACGGCTTCGATGGGTCGGCGATGCGCAGCACAGGAGGGGATACGAGAAAATTCTTGAGTTCCAGGAACGCCGCTTCTGCCTCCTCCCCCCACACAAAATTCTTGTCCTTGTGCAGCAGGTCGGTCAG